TTTAATATATATATAAAAACTGCTTCCAGATGAAGGGTGAGAATTTTTTTAACAGAAGTCAACCTAAACCTTGAATTGTGGAGCACATCTGGATAGCAATGGATGATTATTATGCCTTAATAGTTAAGAGCTCACAGGCTGGGAAACTGAGATCTTACATGAGGAGTACACATCAGATATGTTTAATCATTATGTAAGATCTCAATTTTATTTGGGGATTAAGTATCCAGATCACTTGTATATTGGCAAATCCTCAATCATTATACCATTTCTGTATATTCTGCTATTTATTTGATGTTGTTTGGAATAAAATCTATTATTATTACTGCTGTCGTTGTTTCTGATTCAAACTGAATAGAATTACAGACATAACCTAAGACAAATCAAACTAAATAGCAGCCAACTGATGTGCATGCTATATCTAATGTATTTCTGTGATCGGGATATAATACATCAAGCCAGAAAGCCACATGGCAAGATGGGACCTTCGAGAACCATCTCTCATTCCTTTCGCATGTTACGCATCCAAGATGATTACAAATATGGAACATGTGTATGGATAGCATGGGGAGATGTCACAGTGAGAGTAGATCAGAAAGAGGCTGTATGGAGGAAATCAATGGTGATGCAAAGAACAGCAAGGAGGGAGGGAGGGAGGGCTAAGCAAGAAAGGTTTGCACTTTAAGCAGGCTATACCTTCACATCCCCGCTCAATCTGCCCGCTGCGGTGCAGAGCATCATTAATGAGATCTGGCAGACGCCCATTCAAGTCCACTGATGCTAGGCAGCCCTGGAATCCATCTCTGGAGGCCACCAGCTTCGGGAGGTTGCTATACATTCCTTGAGCCAGTCCAGCAATGTACAGATCGCCTAAAGGAAAACAGACAGGGGACAAGGAAAGGCCAAGGAAATCAGTGAGCAGTGCTTTTTTACACATATACTGTGATCAGCATCTTAAAAAGCCTTATTGCTGATGACAGGTCAGGTAATGCTAATAGGAAAGAACTTTGTAATATAAACAACTGTCTGATATAGAAATTAGAGAGCTATTTGACTCAATTCACATACAGCATAAGGAAGGAAAATATAAAATGAAGTAAAGATAGCAACACCTTGTAACATACATACCTACATTTATATCTATGAATACATGTTAGACATGCACAGATTACATATCAAACTGGGATTCATCTATGAAAGCAGCAATTCTTTTACATAAACAGTTTTAGCCACAAAAATGTATAATAAATTAGGGCTGCATAGGAGGATACTTCCTAATGGAGAGGGAAAATCAGCCTAGATGAACTGGGAAAATCTAAGCTTGTTAAATAAACTCATATTGAAACTGTTCTTACTATAAACTTAGTAAAACTGTAGGTAGGAGATCACATAATTCAGAGGACAAAGTTATTGGATAACCTTTTCCTTGAAATAATAATTGTGTAGATGGTTTCCCCAGGTGGATGAATTATGGATGCTTGAGAAATTCATTTCTTGCATATTCTGGTACAAGCTGATTCAATCACCCTTTGTAGACTAATGTGGAGATCAGAACTTCTTGTCTACTGATTTTTCTAGTTCTGAATTATTTTGACAAACTTCTTAACTAAAAAATATAGCTAATATAGATTTAGTAATGCACGTTTTGAGAGAAAAACATCTTTAGAGATCTATATCTGAAAGGAAAATACACTTGGAAATGTAATTAAATATGCTTTTAAATGTACTTTTGCATTCTAATTTAATATAATAGTAGCTTATTGAAAAAGTGAATGGGCTCATATATGAATGCCCATAAAAACAATAAACAGCAAATAAACTGATTCACACACTTTTTTTTATTTGTATTTTCCCTACTCAGTCATGTAGGGAAATGATCATGATTACCAAACTATCACAGATGATCAGCAATGAAATTTCCATATATACAGTTATCAACAGAACTGTTTATAAATACATTTTAATGCTGTACATTTTAATGGAAACTAAAGCTAAGTATATTTGATAAAATAAAACTGATTTTGGTAAACTTTAAAAAGTGATAAGGAAGATTTCATGACAAGTGAATCTAATGGGAAAAAGAACTTATGATGGATCTGGGTTCTTTTAAAAAGAAGATACCAAAAGCAGAATTGCCACCTATTTCAGTAAGAAGCAAAATGGAGGGCAGCAGCAGAAACCTTCACAAAAATTGTGAAGTATGAAATCTTCACTACATAAAAAGATTGTGGAAAGAGCCACAGGTCAGCAAGGAAGAGCAGATGCAGGTGATTTGTAGAGATTATGACAGGAAAGCTAAAGGTCAGATTTATTTGTTTGTTTATTTATTTTATATGCTTACAGTATAAAGAAGAGAAATAAATCAGGCTATTAGTAGTTTGACAAAATCTGCAAAATGCTACAGACAATAAAGAATTATATTATTTTGGCTATGTTGTCTAGCAGAAAGAAGGTAGTATGTTTGTAAAGAATGAAGGGATAGGACTGAATCTTGAGACTGATAGAATTATAGTCAGGAAATAACTGTTTTCTCTGAATGACTTTAAATCTCTCCAGGGCTAGATAAAATGTATCCTAGGTTACTGAAGGTTTATTTATTTATTTGATTTATATAGCCACCCATCTCACATATGTGACTCTAGGTAATTGTCTGGTCAAACTAGTGATGATCGGGTCAAATATTGATATCTTACGGTCATGAAGAGCACATGAAGTGCTAAACTGGAGGAAGAATCTAGTATGATATTGGCATCTGGCAAGATTCTAGAGCAGATATAAGTAGATTGTTCTGTAATCACCTTGAAAACAATGTCAGAGGTCAGCACTGATTTGTCGAGCACAAATCTTGCTGGGCAAATCTTGTTTTTCATTGGTAACATCCTTGTAGATTGTAAGCATATTGAAGATGTGATACATCTTGATTTTAGCAGAGCATTTTGTAGGACAGATGGTATGACAATTAAATAGATAGATAGCTAACTCAAAAATTATACTGAAAGAATGCTTGTCTGTGGCTCTTCATTGGAAGGATAACTTTAGGCTGAGCCCTCTACTCTTCAACACTTTTAACTAATGACTTGGACCTTGAAATGACCTTGATAAAATGTCTGAAAATAACAGTATGAAATCTGATGGAGACAAATGCAAAGTTCTTAGGCAACACGAATCAAATGCAAAGTTAAAGGATATAAGACACTGGTTTAGTAACTGTACTTGAGATGAAGATTTGGGAATAGTAACTGATTATAAATAGAATATGAGTAGCAATGGCTGTAAAAAAAAAGGCATATACAATTATAGGTTGCATCAACAGAACTATAGTTCCCCAATTACAAGCAGTAACAATTTCACTACATTCTATAAGGGTTAGACTCCCAAGTCTTATATCCAGTTCTGGGTACCACATTTTAGAAGGATGTTCAAGGGACTAGCAACTAATTTAGGGAATCGGGAATCTTTACTTTAATCTTGAGAAGATAAGACTGAAAGGAGTTATGATACCACTTGTCACACAAAAGGTCAAGTCCTATTCTCCAGCATTCCAGAGCACAGAATACATATGTGTTAAATGACAAGAAAACAGATTCTGACTGAACGTGAGAGAAAAAAAATCCTAATAATAAGAGCTGCTTTATAGTGGAGTCAATTACCAGCCATGTGCTGGGCTTCCTTTCACTTGGAAATGTTCAAGTGAAACAACAGTGAGATAGGGATGCTTAATCTGGACTCCTGTGCTAGGGACTGGACTTGATGATGCAAATGGTCCCTTCCAACACTATGATACTAAGATGCCATATATAAAGTTCTTAAGAAATAAATTCATCTATCCAGTGCAATGTCTTTTCCAAGTCTTACTGTTCTCTGAGGAGTATTGCCTAAACCCATGATCTCTTTATAACTGAAAATACCAAGTATTTCTATTCATTACATGCTTTGCCACTAAGGTATTTCCCACATCCAGCTTTGAGATTTCAACTGATATGGTATTAGAAATAATGTTATGATCATGCATGGATGAATCACTTCAAAGTTGATCCAATTACTTACCCTTAAGGTCAAGATTTTTGGCACCATTGATAACCTGAGTAACAACCCTGGTATCCACCTTTAGGCTATGGGTGTTGCTGTTGTCTCTAGTGATAACTACATTGTGCCACTGGTTGTCATTCAACGGGCGATCACTATTGCCCTTGATAACATTAGGTCCATTCCCAAGGTCAAACACGTAATGTATGTATCTGAAAAAACAAAAGTTCCTGCTTTGAAAAAGTTCAGAAAAAAAAAGATTATTCTAAATTTCTAATAACACTGGTTTGCCCACAGACATGAAGCAGAAGCAGTTTTGTCAGGAAAAATATGATATAGCTACTAAGTCATTAAGTTGTAATTTCAAAAAATCAAAGACTCAGAAATTAAAATCAGCTTTTAAATACATATGATAGACCTGTATTAACTAACCCATTACCAGAGCCAACAGAAGATCTTACCCCTTGACCAGCTCAACTGCAATGAAATCATTTCCATCCCCACTGTTGAAAAGAATGAAGCCATCAGCAGAAGTCGTCTTGAATTGGAAGAAGAGGTGCATGGAGGTGTAGGCCTGCAAGGTTGCTAAGCTCAGGTAGCTGCTCTTGGTCTTGAAGGTAACAGGATCAGCAATGATGTTACGGAGCCCAAAGCGGGCTTTCAATTCGCAATAGTCAATGTCTCCATTCTTGCATAAGTCAATGTAGAGAAGGCCATTGAACATGAGGCTCTGGAGGTGGCCAATGAAGCTGGAAGGAATGACAGAGATGTAACGCTTCTCTGTCATTATCCCAGTCTCAATATTGTGGAACTCCAAGCGAGTGTGATCACCAACCATTGTACCTGAAGATCAAAACACAAGAAAGCTAAAAAAAGTTCTGCAGTCAATAGTATTAATAGAAGGCCTCTTTCAAATTACTTCCATTTATTGTAGGAATAAACAAATTATGACACTCACATCTTGCTAAACTACAACTTTCAGTATTTCTGACCATTATCAATGTCTTCTAGGAATGTTGGGAACTGTAGTTCACCAAAATGTGGAGTGGCACATAGTGCCTTATCTATTTCTATTAATACTACTTAAATCAACGTACCACAACCTGGTGTGGAGCTACCACTCCAAGAAATTGCAGCTATCATGGTCTTTAGTCATCCTGACTGAGCATTTGAGAACTACATTCCAATACATGTAGGGAACACGAGGTTAGAGAAGGATGCTTTAAGGCTCCACAATCTTGTCCTCTAGTCCAGGAGATGCAGGGTAAACCACTGAAAGAAATACATTGGAAGACTGCATGCTTGTAAGTTCTGACACTGATATTTCTTCTTTCTTTTGGTTTTTAAGAAAATAATTTTCCAGAAGACCTGATCACTGAGAAAGTTGGTTGGGTATGCAAAGTCATCAGAGGGCTTGTTATATTAATGGTCTGAATGTAACTGAAATGAAAATGGAATGAACAGAGACACATTTTTTAAAAGTACGCAATCTTATCAGCAGTCCATATATTATCTGGCACTGTGTATAGTAGCACCAGAACTAACTATGCTCTGTTTTGAATTTTAAAAGCTAAAATTACAAATTAAAATGTGGCTTCTGATAAAATGTTCCAATGAAGAAAGTACAAATAATCAGCATTTATATCAGCCTCTACAAGTCACTGTAATAAGCATCTTTATATCTTTTCCACTTCTATATATTTTTAACAATTCCTGAAATTTGCATGAGAGAATCTTCTTGTACGTTTTGTGTTAGGCTTTATCGTCATAACCCATTATTTCTTATCAAGTATGATCCATAACTCTATGCTCTCCAGAGGTTTAGAGTTAAAAACAGTACCAGATAACTAGAAAATGGATGAAACTATACCTCGCCATGATATATATAATTAAAAATTTGTAACAGGATATTCTTCTCACAAGCTTTAAATTAGATTAACTGATTCTATTATTATAATATTAGCTATATTATTATGGTTTGTCACACAGTCAGACAAATGTTTAAACTTTACCATTATTATTATTATTATTATTGGTCACACATCATCATCATCATCATCATCATCATCATCACTATCATTATTATTATTATTATTATTATTAT